GAATGTGTATGAGCGTACTATGTGTCTTTAAGGTGTCAGTAAGAATGGTCTTTAGTGAGCCTTCCAAGACTGTTGGAGGTTTACTCAGGCTACGGTTCCAGCTTCCTTTCCTCCTTCAGAGTCTGAAAGTTAGGGAACATTCTGAGACCGATCCACTGAAAAACCTGTAGAATTTCCATAGTAAACCAGCACGTAAGTATCGGTCAATTGAAGTGTGTTACTGGGCTTCCCTTAATGTCCGTCGCCGTGAAGCGAGAACGACTTCTCAATAATAGAACTTGTGTGATTTAAGGCACGGTTCGCGATAAGGCACATAGGTAATGGTGTGAAATAGTTGGCAAGTGACTCGTCTGTGAAGAAAAAGTCCAATGTTGTAGTTTAAAAGGACCCCCTCACCGTCAAACAATTGTACGTGTGAAGGCCAAAGGACAGCGTGTTTTAGGAATCCAATCGGCTAATTCCTTGTAATGAACCGTATGATCCCCAGACAGTGGAACATCCATTTCATGCTCTTGTCCGCTTGCACCGTTTCTGGCTAGAGTGCAGACTTTGAGGGCGGAGTCTGGGGGCGGGTTCACTTAAAGATGGGAGGTGCTACTGGAGCACATTGCGTCTTAACTCTTTTACCTTACGACTTTTGGCCGCGAACGTGGAACAAGCTTGTCCACTGCGCGGCACACTACCATTCCCACACAGTCTTTTGCATTTTCGCAGGTCATCGCGGAACGTTCCTCAATGGACGCCATGACCTGAACCTCCTCGACCTAACAGGATTTCAAAATTTAGGAAGGTGGAGGGAGGGTGCAGGGTCACAGGTTATACACTTTCCCATCGTTCATCTTGGGATCCATGCCTGATGTCCAAATTGCCTCTGGTGTTTTCGAGTCGAAATCTCAGGTTCGACCTTCAGACAGTCACCATTACTGTAAGGTCGTCGGATCGTGGCATTGAACTAGATACGTCCCTGACGGGGTTTGGTTCCTGATCTCGTGATCCCGTCTATGTATCTCCTGACCCGTACACGAAGCGCGCACCCGTTTTCACCCACACATTCGCTCTCGCAAGCTCGACAGCTAATAAGATAGCTTATGCCTATCTTCATGTTATCGCCGTTTCGACTGAATGGGCATGCAGTCTTATCAGGAATGTCTCATATACTGTCATATGAAACAGCATACTCAATAATGACAAAAAAAATCCGCGAGATACAATATGAAGCAAGAACACCTTCTTCCCGTAAACGTTTTGAGAACTCTCCCAACCAGACAAAAACACATCACAGTAAACGATGCGCACCTCAACGTTCATCCGAATCGACCTTTGGAGCACGCGACTACTATCCGGAACCGTCTTCTCTTAGACCTTCTTTCGCCTTTTTCGATTTTTTTTTCAATTTTCTTAAAACAACGGGCCGCTTTCACCTTGCGCTTCATTTCGGACGCCATTGCACTCACTTTGCCCAAACACTCTATGTTATGTCTTCGGTACTGGAACAAGCAAATTCAGAAAGGTACTTCATAAGGCCTGGCGAAATCGATGTAGTCGACGAATCCGATTTCCGGCAAAAAGTCTCGACGCAAGTTCGACATAGTTATTACCACATATGTTTCTGCTGATGAAATCGCGAAACAGACCAGACACAAGATGATGTAGCGATACCTAAATTGAATATTTTATGGTATCTCTTTCAATTAAGGGGAGGGATTTGTTATTTTATCTTGATTTTTTATTTTTCTCATTTTTTCGTGAGGTTTTCTTGCCGAAGTTCAACAAAGAAGAGCTCACCTTGCAAATAGTAAGCTGTCCAGTTTAGGATATACGATAATTGCGAACCGATTTAGTGCCAGAAGAAAAATAGATAGAGTTATCAGGTTTTTAAATAACATATCGCTAACTAATGTGATAACATTCTGATAGGCGATTAACACTCCTGACAACAACGTGATTGCTTTGAGCACTATACATATTATAGAACGAGTCACTATCACCGTGACGAGTACGGTAAGAATTCTGAAGAACGGCGCCTGTAAAACCATTTCTCATATTAGGTTGTTCGGAAAGAAATGCGCGTTGAAGCGCGTTGAATTTGTCCATTTATTTCTCTCCTACTATAGAAGATTTTTTAAACAGTTTTGTCTATTAGAAAGAGATTTTTATTGTGCATCTTTTGATATATTTTTGTCCATGTCTACTTTGCTTTTTTTGGGGAAAAAAAGTTGGGAAGAGCGGGTGCCGCACCAGCTGAGCGACGCAAACAAGGCAACACGAGTGGCAATGGCCGGAATTCTTCTTCGTCGCTTCTCTAAGCCCAACAGCGGTCTTATTCGTTACATCAGATGAGATATGGATCTGCTACGACAACGCAACGCGAAAAAGACAGTGGTTAGACGCCGGTGACACTCCAAAACCGACTCCGAAACCGGATATACACGGCAAAAAGGTGATGCTCTGTTTGGTGGAACAGCAAAGGTTTGGTGTACTTTGAAGTTCTGGATTCGGGTCAACAGCGGACATCTACAAAGATCGGCGGACATCTACAAAGATCAATTGAACCGCGTGGATCAAGCACTGCGTCGTCAAGGTGTCGAAACGACGTCGACAAAATTCCTCCACGACAACGCTCGTCCACATGTCGCGAAAATCACTTTGGAAAAAAATTGAGGAATTGGGCTGGGAAGTCCTGCCTCATCCGCCATCATCCGATTACCATCTGTTCCGGTCGATGCAGCACTCCCTGGCCGAGAGAAAGTTCACAAACCGCGAAGAAGTCCAACTCTGGGTGTCCAACTACTTTGAGTCGCAGCCGGCCGAGTTCTTCGAAAGAGGAATCCATTCTTTGCATAAACGTTGGCAACAAGTCATTGATAGTAATGGAGATTATCTTTTGAATTGATCTTGTTTAATTTCGTTTTTATAATAAAAAATTTTTTAGACTCAAACGCGCATTTCTTTCCGAACAACCTAATAGTTTTCGATAGGCTGAGCAATTGTTAATAGTAAGTGACACTCACCGTGAAGCGACGTACACCAGCTAGCAATATGAAGAGTAGAAATGAGCTGATGATAAAAACAGCTACTGTGGTTGCACTTTCTATGGTTTTCAAGGTCGTTGTCGTGTAGGCGGTGTTTTGGAGAGTCTCTTCTACCGCACATTGTCTACCATCGCAGTGAATCGCTGTCTGTGCTCCGTGAGTGGGTGTTAGAGTATATGCTGTGTCAAACGCATTGCTGAGGTGCAGGGAATATTGACATTCTGAAACGGAAATCCACGTTAGCCTTCGGTGAGTAGCAACGTTTTACCGACCTTATATACTGCAAGATGGGTATAGTAGTAGCAAGCCACGCCTACCCTGAGATGGGGTAGGCGTGGCTTGCTTGGATTGAGCGAGACGGCTGCTAAATTTTTTGTGAGGCATTTTGGTTTTGGGACAGTTGTAATCATGTCTTCGTCAAACATCGAACAAAATGACAGTTCTCTCGAGTTGATGAAGCCCACGAATAACCCACCCTATGCCATGTTCAAATGCCACGCCCGCTCCGTTCTAGGGATAGGGAGTATATGTGCTGACCTCTGCTAGTTGCGGACTGTGCCTTCAGAGGTTAACTCAGCAATCCACAGAGCGACAGTCGCGTTGCCCCCAGCATCTCCTAGCTATCTGACTCGAACATAATACTTGAGTTCAATTACGGACATATGTGCACAGACACTTCACTTGGTGGGGGGGGAACCAGCATATAAACTGCATAAAGAAGAAGTCTGGAATACGACAGAGTACTGTTCCAGGATTTCGGAAACTTGCCTTAAAAGGTGGTGGAGTTGAATCGTAGTGTGCTACTTTGCCAGTTCCGCTCAAAAGTGCACGAGAATGCTGTCGGAGGGCAATGACACCCGGGCTATGCTTAGACGTGTGCTGGCCATACTTTTGAAGCGAACTAGGCTGGCTAGAGGTGACCGTTGCTGCCGTAGCTGCGGACCTTCATCTTCAACGAGGACGATAAAGTATTCCGTAGCGACTCCGCCCACGCCCTGCACATACGGACCTGCCGCACCGTTCACCATAACGAAACGCGCTCTTGTCTGCCCCGTCTCACTTCTGGTTGTTCTCTACTCTGACGGGGGCCGTCGTTTGTGATTTTGGATCCGCGCCAAGTGATCGTACGCCATGAGGATAACGCCGTTTTGGATGCGTTCACATGTTTAGCTGGCGAGCTACCATTTATGAAACTGCCTACATCACTACATTCCGCTGGAAACTTGTATACGGGGTGATTCAACATCCTGACAATACGAATTACCAATATGACATTTATTCTTGGCGCTGGCGCTAATGGAGGACACTACGATCATTTTCTGGGCTCAGCCTTAGCAGAGCGCAGATAATCATAGTGTCCTCCATTAGAGCCAGCGTTGATATTTTCATATTCCTAATCAGGATGTTAAATTACCCCTGTGTACGAGTTTTCAGAGATTCGGTCCTCAAGGAACCTCATAAATGAGCTCGCAGCCAAAAGTGAATTTTTCAAAACGGCATCAGTCGTACCTTGACGATAAGATCATTTGCGGAGTCCCGAGCGGCTTAACTACAGTTGTCTATTGAAGGGACACTTGTAGCGGCTGTTCCGAGTAAACTAGGCTAGGAATCTTTTGCTTAGAGGATTGGTGACGCGCCTGGTTACCATCGAATACCCCCCCCTAGCCTTGAATCTCAAGTAGTCAACGTGAGAATTGTTGAAATCAGCATAAGTGTGCGTGAACTGTGACTTGACCCCACTACATTCGGACGCAAATCACTTGGTAGCGAATCAGGAGATGATCTACTATATATAATCCGCTAAGTTTGTCTGTTGGTGTGTGTGTGTGTGTGTGTGTGTGTGTGTGTGTGTGTGTGTGTGTGTGTGTGTGTGTGTGTGTGTGTGTGTGTGAATGTCTGCCTATGTGGTTGTTAGACGCCGAAATTCATAACTTCCTTCGAAACACGTGATAATGCGTCAAACTGATAGATTGATGCGTAGGCACGGTGGCAGGCAACATTATTGGTGGTGGCAAGATAAGCGATAAGCATGTTGATAGAGAGATACAAAGGGGCCTTAGAAAGGAAGGGTCACCAGCTCCATAGCGCGGAAAACAGCAAGGCTAGAGCGTTGGTTCCAAGAAGTAAGATAGGAGGCAGGATGGGAACATTATTGGTGGGTGGCAGGAAGTGATAAGAGCTGATAAGATACCACAAGGGGCCTTAAAAGGAAGGGTCACCAAAGTCATAGCGCCGGCACGCGACGGACGGGACGTTGGTTCCAAGAAGCAAGTTTATTGGCAAGATGCAGTGTGCAGGACTAGATAGACGGCTGATAAGATAGTCCCAAAAACTCACAGCATAGTTGTGTATTACTGGACTATTGCTTCCAGCAAGTATTTAGAGGTGCTTAGGTAAAATTAGTAGTGGGAGATAAGTTCTGATAGTGTCTGACAAGGGCTTTTAGGAGTCGTATATTCTCAAATCACCGTGGCCAACGAATCAGTGGGCAAAGGTTCAGTGAGCCAACATGTTCCTATGTTTCTATCCCTTGGCGATATAGTCGGATTTGATTCGACCGCTAAACTGTAGTGTCAACAAAAAGTAAAAGCCCCGAAAGCTGCTCAAATGATGTACAGATTGAGGACATTTTCACCAATGAATCGATATTATTACCCTCGAGACTCTTCCAACCGCTAGGCTGTCCTATTTCCAACGAATGGCGAGTGTTGTCAAAAATGTGATAAGCGCCAGTCATTGGTAAATGTTCATTGAAAGGGAAAAATACGATGAAATGGGCCGTATTTCGAAAAATGGGAATTAGGACAAGTGTTGTGCTCCGCAGAAAAACCCCCTGATCAGTACCATAGGTTCAACCATGCGCGCAGTACTGCGCGTTAGCCAAACTGGTAGATGTAATAAGATGGCAGCTTAGAGTTGAAAATTTTTGAAACCACACATGGTGATGGATGAACGGAGAAAGCGAAGAATAGGAAGACTGCCAAATTTATGATTTTTAACAACAATGAACGAATTAAGATGGCTTGTGAAAGAGCTACCCGATCCTCTCCTTCGAATTACATGATTACGTTCTTCTTTCTGAGGTATTACCTTAATGCACGTGACCACTTCGATTACATCCAAAAAACTGTTCCTGCCCAGGCTTGTGGCGTGAGGGCCTGCGGGAACAGTGGACGTTCCCTGCAACAAACGCGTCTCCATTTCTATGATTTGTCCTACCTTATTGTTCTTTCCACCATGTTTAGAGAACTAAGGCGTTACAAGGCCCTTTATATTGTTGTTCAACAAGTAAGCGCTTCACTTGAGCATGACTTGAAGTCCCAGAAGACTGAATGGTCACATTCTCAGGTGGAAGTCATTGATATTTCGAGTACTTCGGATGGACCAGTTAGGTACTGCATCTTTCGAGGAATCCTTTCGAACGGTCGTAATTGGCCGTTGGGGAGGGGAGTCGTTTTTGGTCGGTGGGGGCCGTACTGACCAGGCCACATCATTGGTTGGGAGGGGGTAGGAGATATCGTAGAGTTCGTACGATTTTTTAAAAGGTGTTCCCTAGTTCCCTGCACCGATGCGACCGAGTCGGGTGGTGGTGGGAGAGGGGAGTATATAGCACGTCTGAAACGGGAAACCTGCGAGGGAAATTCGACCCCCGCCCCCTTCTCCATCCTAGCTACCACTTTCTTAGATATTCTCAACTTCTCGCCGGTTTTTTTTTGGAAACCCCCGAAAATTTTCCTCTTTTTTCACCAAAATTGAGCTGATCCCCTCTCAACGACAAGCAAATACGCCTTTTCCCCCAGCGACCGAATACGACGCTCCTGCAGGGGAACCCGAACGATGATGTGCCCTGGTCTGACGTCACCATTTCATCCATCCATCCGTAGCGCCCTGAGTCGAAATGATGGGTTAAGGGAATCTCAATTGGTGCCAAGAATGTAAAAAAGAATCGCTTGCAGTTGCTCCAAAGTAAGATGCATTAGGTTGCAAAACGATCTGTAATGCCAATGAAGGTTCGAAAGGTGACTGAGAGTGCAATTAGAGCGAAGAAAAATTGCCACGCTGGAAAATAATAACCGATATTACGCTGGTAATAGTGGTGCACTCAGACTATTATGGTTCAAAATCACTCGCGAGTTGTCGTCCGGAGAATGTTTACAGACGGAAAGGGCTTCGGGGAAAAAAGACGGTAAGAGCAAAATCAAAAAACATGCGTACTGCTAGAAATTAAAAGGGATTTCACCGCTAACAGTAAGTTTGCAGAAAAGAGATACAATCCGTGATCACATGAGTTTAGTGGTCCCGTCGGTGATCATTAATAATGTTTGCAAGTCAATAGTTTAGCCCAGGTGTGGGCGAAATTACAAAAGCACACTCGCAGTGGGCGGTGCATACGTCGATGTGGGCGGAAAATCCGTAGCGATCGGTTCCACAGAGCAAGCTCAAAGAACAGCAATTACCCAAAGTGAGCAAAAGTAATTCAGCCCAGAGCTGGAAACTTCATATCACAGATCCACTCCACCTTAATGTAGGTCCCTGTCGGTTTAGTGCGCAGCGGTTCGTGAACGCGGATAGCGGAACCACAACCGTTGACTTGGTTAAGGGTTCGCTACTATCCCATCCCTGACTATATACAGGGGGGGGGCCAAAAAAAAGTCATTCCGGCCGAGTCACATATGAGCGAAGTTTTCGCAGCCCAGACAGAGGAAGTGGATATGAGTACCAGGGCGGAAGATACCCAAGATCTTCTTCTATAACCAGGAGCCGGCTGCCGCCATTCACCTTCATGTACACCAAAATATGAAGTCATCTCCAGTCGCGGCCTGAGTGGAGAACGCCTTTGGAATTCACGTGGCCTCCAAACAGCTGCGGAACTTCTTGAATGGAATCACCCATGGATAGCTACCTGGAGACAGTACTCTCGATCTGGATGACCTCCAACATCGAGCAGCACCGACAACGGTTGCCACGGTCTAGGACATAATCTTCACCACAGTTGCCAAGGCGCGGGTTGATGGTATGGACTGGAGGTACCTGAAATGGAATAAGCAATATTTTCTTCGTGGGCCCCGGACTGAAGGTGAGCGCTGGCGGTTACATCGAGCAACTCGAGGAGAATATCCCATCTTCATGTCGTCGCCCGTACCTTCTTGGAAACTTTGTACTGCTACAGGATTGGGACAACACATTTAATCGAAGGGCGTTGGAAAAACTTTCGCCTACTTGGAATGGAAGAACGTTGAGTACCTGGAAAAGATGGAGTATTTAAGCGGGGTCCTGACTAGACTGACCAACACTCGTTTTCGGGCGCTCACAGGGTGGTCTACAGTGGCGGAGAAATCAACGATCTCGCTCAACTCCGGTACCCACTCACTTCGCGCGGCCGAATCTCTCGATGGCGCTCCTCCAGAAGGCTGTGGCGGAGTATCGTTATAGTATTTAATGTGCTCTTTAATATGGTAGTAAAAATGTCCGATAAAAATTTAATAAAGTGTAACTTATAGCGCCTTGAAAGTCATGGAGGCAAAATGACTTTTTTTGCCCCCCCCCCTGTATAATAGCGCTCCCCAGTTTGTCTGTTGTGTGTGTGTGTGGTTTGTGCGTGTCCTCGCTTGTTTGTGTGTCGTGTATGTGTGGTGTGTGTGTCTGTGTGTTTAGACCGGGAATTCATAACTTCCTCCAAGCAGCGAAGGATATCTCAAAATAATAAGTGATGTAGGTGGTTGGGCAGGAACACTGTTGATGGGTGGCAGGAAGTGATAAGAGCTGATAAGGTATCATAGGGAGTCTTAGAAGGGGAGGTTCACAAAATTCATAGCGCGGGCCACAGTGACGGTAGGACGTTGGTTCCAAGAAGTAAGATAGGAGGCAGGATACCTCCTATCTTACTATCCGTGGGTGGCAGGACGTGGTAACAGCTGATAAGACACCATAGCCTTTCCAATAGCACGAGTCTTAACAACACTGAGGAACTGCCATCCAGCAAGTGATTCAGAGGTGGTTATGGAATGTGGTGGAAGATTTCAGTGCTGAAAGATAACTTGTGAATTAGTGCCCAAAAAGGGCTTATAAGAGCCGGTATCTGTTCGCCTCCTTTCTGCTTACGACTGAGCCTGACCACAGTGGTCCTAGAGTCAACGGGCAAAGCTTAGTGGGCCAAGCAGTTTCTATCTTCTAGGCGAGTATGAGTCGTGCAGGTTGATCGAACCGCTAAGAACCTCTCCGGAAGTTCCAACAAAAAGTACAAAAGCATGAGTTTTTGCGTTTTGGGGATGACATAGAGCCACAAGCAGAACGGATAATTGTCATAAAGCTGCTCAACCGGAATACTGGGATGTAAGGAAATTCCAATGTGATCTCGATATTGTTACATTAAAATTCTTTCAACCGCTGAGCTGTCCTATTTCCATTGAATGGTGCGTGTAATCGAAATGCGATAAGCATCAGACATTGGCATATGTTCATTAAAAAGTAATATGACGAAATGGGCCGTATTGGAAAATTAAGCCAAGTGTTAGTGGTCAGCACAGTAATTCTGTCAGTAATCAGTACCATAGTTGGACGCGCGCAGTAAGTGGCGCGTCAGCCGGACTGGTTATTAGTTGGCTAATAAGTAATGGCTTTTTTTCAATTGAAAAATTTGTTCGAAAAGTGAAACGTTTTGCAAGCAAGTTATATATCATCTGATAGGAAACTTCTCGTAGTATAAGAATATCAAAAAGCTTTGGTTGAGGATATAGTTTTGTGAATTTTTTAGTCGTTGAAGTTGGAAGTGAAGTCGGCGAAAATTAGCATCTTCGACAACTGCCTCTATTTACGTCTACTCGAAGTGCTAAAATCGCTTAAGCTGCTCCATACATTCGGAAAAGGTTGAGGTAGAAGTCTCAGCAAGGGAATCTCAATAGGACGCTTTGGAACTAATTTCAAGAATTTCAAAGTTGGCAACCTTCACCTTGCCATATTGGGCAGGCTCACGTCTGTTCCACCTGAAATTTCATGCTAATAGTTGAATTAATTGAATTGAATTTGATATTCTAATACTACGAGAAGTTTGCTATTAAACGATATTAAGCTTGCTTGCAAAACGTTTTACTTTTGGAACAAATTTTCATTGCCAAAAAACGGCCATTTACGTAATTAGGCCAGGCCCACTACGCACTTATTAGCCAGCTGGCTAATAAGTAATGGCCGTTTTTTTCAATTGAAAAATTTGTTTCAAAAGTGAAAAGTTTTGCAAGCAAGCTTAATATCGTTTAATAGCAAACTTCTCGTAGTATTAGAATATCAAATTCAATTCAATTAATTCAACTATTAGCATGAAATTTCTAAATAGAGGCAGTTGTCGAAGATGCTAATTTTCGCCGACTTCACTTCCAACTTCAACGACTAAAAAATTCACAAAAACTATATCCTCAACCAAAGCTTTTTTGATATTCTTATACCGTAGAAGGTTTCCTATCGAGGATGAATGTATAACTTGCTGCAAACTTTGACTTTGCCGAGCGCAGAATTTTTCAATTGAAAAGACGGCCGATTATAACTTATAGCCACCTAGATATATAATTCGCTGAAGTGTGTCTGTGTTTGTGTGTGTGTTATGCTTGTCTGTTTGTCAACGAAATTCGATATGCGCCGGTCGCTGCAGCAGTGAGACCGTTGGTGCCAAAAGTTGTACTAAAACTTTCTTTGGTACGGAGTGCACTCTCGTAATCATTGTATATGGATATGAGCCTTCCTACATGAATAGGACATTAATGGTTTGAGTAAATAATACCTTCTCCTCTCCACGTTTGCCGCCTAGTGGAGTTCCTCAGGGAGATGTGCTCCCCTCTGTTTTGTTTAATATCTACACGTTTGAGCTGCCTTCACTTATTACAAAGAGCGGAGTGAAATGCAGTGCTTTTGCGAACGACGTTAAATTATACCAAGCAGTAAAAGCTCACGATGATTGTCCTTCAGCTGCAGCGCTCCATTGATGTAGTGAATAGATGGTCTAATAAATGGGCCCTGCCGTTGTCCACAGAAAAGACTACATCTGTGTTGCATCTGAGCTCGAAAAATAGGCAGTGTCCTCATGTGATCGAAGGCACTCCTATCAGGAAAGTGGAGCATCAGAGGGATTTAAGCTTCAGAGTGACCAAGAATCTCAGCTTGACGCGCACTGTGAGCTTATTGCTCGTAAAGCCAACTCGATGGTCTATAGATTGTTCAAGGTTCTTACGACAAAGAATTCTACAGTATTGTTGCGGGCTTTTAAACTTACATCAGACCTGTGCTAGAGTACGGCACACCTGTTTTCAACCCCTACAAAGCGAAAATGATTTCGTTGCTCGAAAAAGTCCAGAATTCCTTCACAAGGAAGTTGATGATAAGAGTTCTAGGCTTTCTTTATGAAGGTATACCCTCTAGCATGGAAAGGAATAGAAATTTCAAGCTGCACCCTCTGGCCTTCAGGAGAAGAATATTTGACTTGATTCTTTTTCACAAGATCCTTCAAGGCAAATGTGGTCTTGATGCGAACAAGCTCTGTGGATTGCGGCCATCAGTGACCAGGGGCAGCCCTCTCAAACGTATACTGCCTCGCGCTAAGCACAATTTCAGATTGCACTTCTTCACTATTAGGCTGGTTCTGATTTCCTTAAGTTGGGTGATGGACACAGCACATTCCTTACCACTTCTTACCACTATAATACCAAGTATCAGAGGCTCATATGGTGTCGACCGGGGCTGTGGGGGGGTATATCGTGCGCTTAAAATGGGAAATTCATTGATTAACAAATTCCCCGGGAGTCCGTCTGTTGGATTTATGTATTAGTAGAGAAGGGATAGGTCACAATCAAACTCAAAGAAGCAGGGGAAGCGCCGTTCAGAGCGACGACAGGGTTTTGTTGTTAGTGACATGCGGGCTCCCCGTGTGACCCTCACTTTGACAGAAACGAAGCAAGGTGAATCCTTTCGCGCCGTCCATGACTCCATAGTTGTGCCTGTTCCGGAGATCACAAGGCACTACATGTTGCACTGTTCATCCCCCCTATTCAACTTTTGCCCATGCCATACCGCAGCTTCGGTTGATGAAACGGTGCAGTCTTCTTAAGGTTGAAAGTCAGGAATAGCAGAGAGGGACGACGATATGATTTATGACAGATGAGTGTAGAGCTGTTTCAACTCATTTCGCACTTTCGGTAGAAAATGCTGTTGACCTTTCAGCACGTTTTGCACATTCCAGCCCGTCTAAGAGCGCCTCACGAGGCCAGGCCGGTCCGGCGAATTCCGACGCGAGTAACGTATGGAGAAGAGCTGCTTGCGAAAGCGGCTCCGCTACTCGGTAATAAAATAATCTTGACCGAAATCATCAGTAGTCGATCGTATATTGTTTTAATTTTAGAGGTTTCTTACGAAGAGTGATGGGTTACGAGTTATTGATCCCGATACTTGTGAGTGGATTGATAGGTTGAAGTTGACTTGCCGGTCGTTGGTAGTAAACCTTTCTACGCAGACTTACAATACGAAGGCATTCTTCTATTAGTATTCCACTTTGAAGGCCAGGCTTCCTCCTTGATCACGCGTCGATCTCTGTTCCAGATAGCCGGGTGGGAGGAAGAGGGGGGGAAGAAGCCGGTCGCAATCTTTTTCAGTGGATTGAATCTGATGTTCGGCTAATACTAAGTATCTATTACAATGTACATAGAGTTGATGCAAATCATCTAAGACAAACCAACAAAGTCGTCACAAAAATAGAAGCGCAAGTCCGCAAACTTATGACAAATTACAAAACCGTCGAAACGCATCAAAGGAAAAGTACAGAGCAAGACGAGAACAGTGTAACAGAGTCCAGGCTAAGCATTAACTCAGAGCCCTCTCTATCTGAGCTAAGCTTCTAGGCGTGATGTGCTTCTTAGCAAACTGCCTGCGTTTAGAGGAAGCCTGCACAGTGAAAAACGTTGCGCTTTGACTTTGGACCTAGTCAGAGGAAAACAGAATCTTTAGCTCATCCTTTCGATGATAAGATCGTACCAACGTATGATGGCCTCCGTGAATTGACGCAGACCTTCATGTCAGCACTTGTTTGAATTAGTCATCCTTCCCCTCCCGTAGTGGAAACTGATTCCAACCATCTAAATCCTGACGGTACCTCTATGGCGCTCTAGAAGATCCCCTCACGTTAGTTTTGATGAAGCATGTATTCTCGTAGCTTCAGAAGTTACGATGGCATCCTTATATACGGGCCCTGAGAGACGCAGATCCATATTCTAGAAGGGGGACGGATATACATATGCCTTAGCAGCCATATGGGATTCGAGCGGTTGCGACTTGTTCTCTTTTGCTATACACTGGGGATCAAGCGTCAATTTGTGAGCAATTGTAAGACCTGAATCTCAGTTCAGAAACACTACATCACGACATATACGGCACCTTGCTCACACACACCATCAAGCACTCTCCTTGCACCGCTCGCACCCACGGGTCCCCTTCTCCCACAACAAAGTCGCCAACAACCGCGCACCCCCGCCACCACACGGATCCCAAACTCCTTCGCACCACCGCATCTCGAGCAGCCTCAGACCTATCCCACCCTCGCGCCTCGCATGACCACGACTTCGTCCCGCCTACCACCGCCCGCCAACCCTCGCTCAGCTGCTATCTCTGCCCAACCAAACCCTTCTCGTAACCTTCCCTTCTCGCTGCCGAGGTCGCACCACTCATAGCGATACAGCACGGAGATTTCGTAATTCCCGTCCGAAGACCTTTCAGCCGGTATACATTTCATTTCAAATGGCCACTTCGACCTACCATCCTTCCCTTGTTAGATTTTTTGCGTTTGGCCCGTGGATCGAGTCCGTCCTGAAGCAGAAATCGAACTTCAGGATTATATGTGAGATATAAATGTTTCCTTATGACAGGAACCTCTGCTCGCAAGATATCAAGTCATGGAGGGGTGTAGAGTTACGATGAGATTATGTTTTTTTCCGACTGCTGAAACGTAAACCCTCAAAATAAGACTGCTACCTGCAGGCTTTCAAGGACGGTGTGTCACATCCTCCTCAAAACCCGGGTGGGTCATAGACTGGAGGTGAGAGGGTCATTTCTGAAAAAAATTCCCCATCTTCGTCCTGATGTTAAATCATTTTGAAATTGATGTGTGCAGAAAACGAAAGCAATCACAGCAAGGAAGGATCGCGTTGTCAGAAAAGTCGTTTATTCAAGTTTTCAGAACAGCTCATTTTATTGTAAGGGTTTTGCTTGCCTTCGATACTTTTATGGTTGCGACAGGCAAGAATCTGTAGGAAATTTCTGCATGAACTTCACGTGAACCAATTAATATGAAAACCGGGATGAGAATATCCGGTATGAAACACAATATGTTGTAAATGCTGATTATAATAAAACGCGACTCGTAGGATGACGGAATTCGATAGAGAAGAATGAAAAGTAGTGTGAACATCTGAAAATATAATTGTATTGACGAAAACGCCTTCTCATTGGTGCGCCTTTCCTCACTGTCAGCGTAGAAGAGGTGCGCCTATGAGGGATGCACGATACTAGGACGTTATCCACCATTATGATCAATGTTATCTGTGCTTTCAAATACTGCAAAACACTCACCGTATTAATTATGGTCAAGAGAGCAATTTCTCGGAACATCTTCTGTTGCACCTGGAAGAGCATTATAAGGTCTCCTCGTTGGCTAACGCATGAAGATGCATACCTTGGCGGTCTTCTTGTAGACTGCTCGGTTGTGGCATCGCAGGTGCACGATAATTAGCACATGTAAACACACCGAAATGAAGGCAAATGCCAGGAAAACCATGCAGCTGATCTATAATGCG